CCTCCTTCTGCCCCTCCTCCTCCTCCTCCTCCTTCTGCCCCTCCTCCTCCTCCTCCTCCTCCTCCTCCTCCTCTGTACTTCTGTGGTTGTCTGGTTTTTTATTGCCCGACGACAGACCGACCGTGGCACCTGTGTCACACAATATGAGCATCGGAGTCACGTGAACGCGAAGAAGTTCACAGAAAAGAGGACTTTCGTTGTGTCTATCACACACCCACTGCGTTCGCACTGCACGACAAAGTTTCCACCACCGAAAGTGGGCGTGCGTGTAGTGACTAACAAAGCAGAAAGGGGCAGAATAAGAAAGAAGACGACGACGATGATGACGATGACGACGATGACGATGACGACGATGATGATTAAGGACGGGGAAAGGAAGAGTATGAGTTAGCAAAAGAAATTGCGACCAACTTCCGGTACTTGGTTCACGCGATGGAGCACTGGAGAAAGTTGACCAAGAGAGAGCACAAATTTTCTCATATTGCCTTCGTTCGATGTTTGCCTGAAAAGGTAGTCCCTCTCCTTCATTTTCGTCCCTTCGCCCTCCTCTTCCTCCTACTTCTTTCTCCACCTCCCCCTGCTCCCTCTCCTCAACATCCTCCTGTTCTTCATCCCGAACCGATAAAGACAAAAAGCCTTTATTGCTTCCACCAGCAGTCAACCCTTACTTCTCAGATGGATTAAGAGGGGAAGGACAACTCCGGCGGAAGCCAGCGAAATCTCCTGAGAACTCTCCGACGTGCTATTTGGGCCAGTGTTTGTGATATTACAAAGGTCTTCAGAAAAGTTTCGATTTTCTGAGAAATGGAAAAAACTTCGTTCATAGCCCGGGTCTGTAAAAGGGAGTCTATGTTCGAATTCGAAACTTGTTACCTGTCATGTTAAACTGCGTTTGTGTACGGTCATGAAACGTCTCCTTAGGAGGCACTTATGACACACCTGGAGCAATGAAGCATTCTGTGCGCAACTTACTGTGTGCTCATACTGAAGTCCATTTTGTATTTCGAGCAATATTTTCCCGCTGAAAAAAGGACGGAATATATAGATTGGGGCTATTCTGCAGACACGAACTTTGATTCTCAGAAGGCATTTAATAACATGTCCCATCGCCGTGGGAATTTGAAATCTAAGGCACCATTTTAAACGGACAAAAGGCCTTCTTCGGTGACTCATTTGGAAGGGGTCGTTGGCTTCGGCGAGATTCGGAAGCACGCCAGCAACGGAAGAGCTTGGTAACAGACAACCATCAAACCAACAAACTGGGTCAAACTAAGAATCCAGATCTGCCGAAAACACCTTTTAAAAGGCTTTCTACCATACCGACTGCAAAGAATTACTGTTGGTAATGCGGCCTCTAAATGCATATCAGTAGAAATAATTCTCTCATAGGGTTCCGTGTTGGGCCTTCTTTACGTTCTCATATACAGCAGCACTTGTCCCGATTAAAATGACTGTGGGACGGTCATGTTCGCTGATGAAATAAAAGGATGGGATGCATTCCAAGGTGTTGACGACGAAAAGAAGTTGCAAGAAACCACTGACAAACTGACCGTTCGGTCAACCGCACGGTTTCTAACATCTAATGCATCTGAAGGGATAGTTCTATGCTTGAAAAAAGGTCCAAAGTGGTATTTCGTCAGAACGCGGGCAAACTCACAAACACATCAGCCTCTGAACTATTGTAATTATGCTAATTGGAAATGAAACAGGGCGTCACCGGTGACATGACGTGAAGCCACTGTCCATCGCCTGCCACACACGACTGAGATCTCGCCGAAGTTAGGCGTGTTGCATATACCACATCAGAAAGAAGCCATTAAAGTCTAATCCTCCGCCTCGGAGAGGAGTGAGCCATTTTGACAGCCAACAGTTTCCTGAACTACGAGTTTCGATATGTCTTGATAAGTTAAAGTGCGCCAGATATATTGGCGTAGTGACGAGTGCGTTAATTTACTACGATGACCAATTCCCACTCTGTATTAACTCATTATCCCTTCCTTCTCCCATTCAACAGCCAACTCTCCCCACTGCTCAACCGACTCATGGTGGTATTCTGCACAGTAGCCTGAAAGCCTTTCTCTGCGCGTGTCAATACACGGACTGATTTTCATCCCCACATCACCAGACCTCACCTGGATACACACTTCTCACGTGAATGAAATGCGCACATTCTCGCACAGGATGTTCTACTTGTCAAAACGACATTGACAACTCCCATGTCATGATTGTGACACGAGTGACATGCAACGTCTGGCTGATTATTGACGTGAATGAGCGTGTGGTCGAGTTATCTCATGCGTAGGCTAGGTGTGTTCGGGTGAAGAGGCTTTGTAAGGAGGCTCCAGTAGTGTAGTTCTTCGAAAAATTTCCATGTAAACGCATAGTACCGCGTAGACCTTGGTGACCGTTCGACTGTCCCAAGTCAAGGCGATCGGGGGTGGATGCGACGCAGTGATTAACAAGGTTAAATATCCCGCACACGTGTACTACACTCAAAATGGTCCACACGACACGTACCAAATACATCAGCGCATTACTCACTATGATGGAAATGACACGCTTGAGGCTGCCATGACAAGCTAATTGTCGTAGCGAGTTGACGGGTTAACTCAGTTCTTCTCAGTACTCAGAGCCAGGCTGGTTTCGTTCATTCTTAATTTGGCCTCCATGAATGAGTTACATTCCCGTGGCCGCACTCGCCCTTATTGAAGTCGGCTGCAGATCATGAAGACGAGGTCGTGTGTGGGATGCGTAATCGGCATGTTTGAACCTGTCAACCACTGCGCCCAAGCCCCGACCCAGGTCATTTTGACTTTGTCTTGCTGTCGGGACAGAGTGGATGAGGTAAGATAGAAGGTGACAGATGCTGTGCCGGTCTCTGTCACTACAAACTTACGCGCAGGCCCCTGGTCCTGCGTCCACGCTGTGGAAGCATTCAGTGAGCGGACGGCACGTCAGTTTGGTCAGTTAACACACACACAGGTTGAATACTTGGTAGAGTGGGTAAACACGAGAATGGAAGAAGAGCAGAGACCGCCAAATAGCAAAATATATATATAAAAAATGAACCACGTGCCTCGGGGCAGGTGCTAACTACGTCATTGCGTCCAATTCTCC